GTATATAGCCAAACACTAGAAAAACATTTGGAGCACTTGCGGAAGGTCCTAGCCCAATTGCGGGAGCACGAACTATATGCGAAGCTATCCAAGTGCTCATTTGCTCAAAAACAAATTGACTTCCTCGGACATGTCATCAAGGAAGGGCGGATCAAGATGGACCAATAGAAGATTCAGGTAATCATAGATTGGCCGCCGCCTAAGGATATACAAGCCTTGAGGGCATTCCTTGGCCTATGCAACTTCTATTAGCGATTTGTGAAAAACTACTCCCTTATCGTAGTTCCATTGACAGAACTCCTCAAGAAGGTCACGCCCTGGGATTGGGGACCCAGGCGAGCGTAGGCCTTCAACGCATTGAAAGCGGCTATGTCTAGTAGCCCCGTCTTGGCCCTCCCTGATTTGGCCAAGCCATTCGAGGTACAAACGGATGCATCCGACTATGCCCTCGGTGGAGTCTTGCTGCAAGAAGGGCATCCTGTAGCGTACGAGAGCCGGAAGCTGAAGGATGCAGAGCGGTGCTATGCCACCCATGAGAAAGAATTATTGGTTGTTGTCCATTGCTTGCGCCTTTGAAGGCACTATCTGTTGGGGACCTCGTTCGTGGTCAAGACAGACAACACAACTGTTAGCCATTTCATGACCCAGCCGAAGCTGAATGGTCGACAGGCCAGGTGGTTGGAACTCCTAGCTGAATTCCTCTTCAACCTGGAGTACCGAAGTGTGAAGACCACTCATGTTGCTGATGTGCTCAGTCGAAGAGCTGATCTAGCATCGGTCAAGTCGGACCGCTTGACATAAGCGGGACTCTTGGAACCATTAGCTGTTCCAAATAGACCTTGGGAAAGCGTTTCCCTGGATTTCATCACCGGATTGCCCAAGGTCGGAGATCTCACAACTATCTTAGTTGTGGTGGATCGGTTTTCCAAGTATGCTACATTTATAGCAGCCCCACAATATATATCAAACAGCAGAAGATATAGCTCGACTCTTCTTCTCTCATGTCATCAAATATTGGGGCCTGCCCAAAGACATTGTTAGTGATCGCGACTCACGCTTCACTAGCAACTTTTGGACCCAACTCTTTAAGTGCCTCGGGTCAAAATTAAGTCACACCTCAAGTTTTTATCCGCAATCTGATGGCCAGATGGAGCGTTTCAATGGTATGTTGGAGGAATATCTCTGCCACTTTGTAACCGGATCACAGAAGAATTGGGTGAAGCTTCTGGATGCTGCTCAACTATGTTTCAATTCACAAAAGAGCTCTAGTACAAACAAAAGCGCTTTTGAAATTGTTACCGGACAGCAACCGCTACTCCAACACACCGTGAATGCTCCAAAAATATCTAAATCTCTTCGAGTTGCTAGCTCAAAAGAATGGAAGCGGAAATTTGGAGATAGTGCGGAGCTATCGTGTCAAATCCCAAAAGTGGATGAAGAGGCATGCTGATCAAAATCGTCGCTTTGTTGAATAACAAGTAGGAGACAAAGTGATGGTCAAAATCCCAAAGCGGTACTTGTTTTCGGGGGTTCATGACCCTAGCCTATTGCAAAAATACATTGGACCTTTGTCCATTGAAAGGCGCATTGGAAAGTTGCATACCGGGTGGATACCCCAGCTTGGTAAAAAATTCATTCCGTCTTCAATGTGAGCCTTCTGAAACCTTTTCGGGAAGAAACGGAGGATCCTTCAGGGAGCCAGCTCAGAATACCCAGTATTCGAGGCCCCAATTCAACCGAGAAAAGGCGTATTGAATTTATCCTTGATGATCGAGTGATTCACGCCTCAAGGAAAGATCACCAAGATTTCTTTGTGAGATGGCAGGGCTGTGATGCAGAGGAGAATACTTGGGAGAGGGGAACAAACCACAAAGCCTACAAGAGCCTAATTGGTGATTATCTTGCAAGTAAGGCGTCGAGGACGTCGCCAACTCAGGTGGGGGAGAATGTCATGGGCGGCTTTCCAGCTATGCCCCATGACCCCTTGGGCGCGCCTCGTGGCGTCCTAGCAAGCCTCCTAACGCCTAGCGCTACGGACGACCCCGTGGTCTTGGCTGCGCCAAGTGACAAACGCGCATGTGCCTCTGTCGCCCCATAGATATCCCTCGCCAGCGCCCAGCCACAGGCAGATGCCAACAGCGCCGCGCACGTAGACAACACCGCACGCGCAGACCGTGATGCCAAAGACAATATTGCTGACAACGGACATGTTTCTGCCTTGTAGAAACTAATTCCTTTTCATTATAAATATAGAGTAGTTTTATTTCATGTACTTCCATTATGTTTCTCTAGCATAGTTAAGTCTAGTCTTGTAACTTTGGTTTATTTTTTTTAAGCACTATTAGGGGGATTAAGCAATCAAACTTTCTAGCAAGCAAACAATTCTCTGTACTGGTGTCTCTCCTCCTCGACACCGCGTTGCTTTTCTGTAATAATTCTCATTTATGTTCTCTCAATTGCTCTTGACATTGGTTTTCCCGCACGACACTGACAATCTCGTCTAGCGTGCGGAGGGGACCTCAGTTGGTGGATAGTAACTGCACTAATATCAGCTGCTTAGCCTTACGTTGCCATTCCAAGAAATCTCAGGAAGGCGCCGCGTAACAGTACATAAAGCATTATTTAGTCATGTTACAAGACTCATGTATGATTATGAAAGCATTCAAAACATGTGGTCGTAGGCACGTGTCCAATGATGTCCCAATAATATTTAAGCTACAAAATAGATAGATTTGTAATAGCATTTAATTTAAATTGAAAGATAAGATTTTTTTTTAAAATTTCAATGGAAAGATAGTAAGTAAGATTCTTTTGGATCTGAACAAAAGTAAATTTAAATATTTTTTGAAAGATACAACCTACTGCCCTATCTTAACTTATTAAAAAGATAAAGATGGAGGTATTATAGATAAATACCAAATATTATATATATAAGAACCGGAAGCGAAGCGCTATGCCGGGGCGGGGTGACGGAAAAAGAAACAGCTCCGAAGAGAAAATTGGGGTTCCCAATTCTTCTCCATATATATATATATATATATATATAGAACAAAAACTAATATATAAAGAGGAGAATAGATATAATATTGATGCTATCTATACCTCAAATTTATTTTGAAAAGTTAAATAAATAAATTCTCGAAATTATTATTCATATATAGTTTCGAACAACGAAAGAATTCTGAGAACTAGTCACACTGGAAAAAGTTAAATTAAATTAAAACGTTATACAAGACTATATTCATCGTATTATATTAAAGTGGTAAGTTAATAAAAAACAATCATATAGCAATTTAATAACACTAAGTCATGAAAATTACAATTACGCCAAGCAAGGAACAAAAAGAGAATAAAATAGAACTTCTAGGAAAAATATAGAAATACAAGAATTATAATTAAATTTATAATTAAAGTCCTACATATATACATAATTAAAATCATAATAAATAAAAAATCAAGAGGTAAAAATATTAGAAACAGAAGATTCCATATCTATAAATAATTGGTTTTCGTGGCAACAAAAGTCGCCACTAAAGGTAAACGATGGCTCTTCCAAAATTCGGAATGGTTGGTCGCCCCTTCTAGTGGCAACCTACTCTTTCGTCTTTCAGGGCGACTTTTACATCCTTTAATGGTGATATAATCGCCATTACCTTGGCCACAATAATCTTAACTTTATGACAATTTTAGTCGCATAATTGATGGCATTTTGTAGAAACTATATAGTCTCCACAAAAGCCTAATAGGTTGCGATTAAATCAATTATTCATTGGAGATCTGCCTAAAATTTATTTTTTTTGTTTTTGCCGCGTAATTGTTTACATTTTGTTGCAAGTTTAGTCGAAAGTCTATATTGAGTATTGACTATGTAGACGCTAAAAGTCGAATAGGCCGCCAGTAAAGTCATTATTAATTTGGCAACATATATAAAATATATTTTCACGTGATGGTCATAATAAATATTATACATATTATTTGAGCTAATCAATAGTCATGTAGTTCATAACTATGTTTTGACACTCTCACGCAAGCTCATTTCCACGTGCTTAAGTACATAAATCATCATTAATCATGTATGCATATGAAAACATTCAAAACATGAGGTCGTAGGCACGTATCCAATGACGTCCCAATTACACTTAATCTACAAAATATATAGATTTGTAATACATTTAACTAAATTGGATGATGAGATTTTTTTTAATTTCAATTGAAAAATAGTTAATAGGATTCTTTTGGATCTGAACAGAAAGAAAGTAAATATTTTTCGAAAGATACAACCTACTACCCTATCTTAACTAACTAAAAAGATAAAGATGGAGGTATTATAGATAAACACTTGAAAAAATATATACTATAGAACAAAAACTAATGTATAAAGAGGAGAACGGGTATAACATTGCTGCTATCTATACCTCAAATTTATTTTAAAAAGTTAAATAAATAAATACTCAAAATTATCATTGATAAATTTAAACAACGAAAGAATTCTGAGAAATAGTCATACAAGATAAAGAAAAGTTAAATTTTTTAAAAGTTATACAAAACTATATTCATCGTCTTATATTAAGGTGGTAAGTTACATATGGCAATTTAGCAACTATGTAATGAATAATACAATTACGACAAGCAAGAAACAAAATGAGGAATACAATACAAATTATAGGAAAAATATAGAAATGCAAGACTTATAGTTAGTATGTTAAAACTAAATTCATTATTTTAAACATAATCTTTATACAATATTTATAATTTGGCGGTCCTAAAATAAGGTAAATACTTATACGTACACTTGACTAAATAATTAACCTAAAGAATTAACAAATCAAAGTTAAAATACATATCATTTAAACATGAGTTCTAAAAAAATATACAAAACATTTATAATTTTTTAATTTTGATATAAACAACCTGTACGAGAAGTTTATCTCTAAAACAAGTATTTTACTTGCTTTAGGATTAAGTTCAAATTCTGGCGCGCATTGTGCTTTGCCCGAAACTGATAAAGAAGAAAATACAGCGTTTGAGACTCTTTGCTGTCTATTTCTAGAACTAGAATGGACTCCATGATCGAGTTATGTGATTTGATAGCAGAAAATCCAGCTCAATTGGGGGAGAAATTGGCATGGATATGCGGCAGATGTCCTCCAGCAGAAGCCCTAGGAGGATCATCACCTAGGGTTAGTGTTTCAAGGTCTCAACTCAATGCTATACTCGCCGTCGCACGATTCCTCTCTAAATGCCCTAATCATTCATATGAAACGCCTAAATCAATCGTTCTCGCTTTCTATCGTTCAATTCCTTCGTCTTTCAACCGGTACTTTTGGCCGCAATCTTTTACAAACGACTCAATTGGTTCCTTTTTCGTTGATTTCTTTGAATATATTTGTATAGCATGCAAATTATGTCCAGAATTTTCTGCTGACGTGGCTATATTTACGGGAGATATTATGATCTCAGCTATAAGCAATGAGAATGAGGATTTGGGGATTAAAAAGGCGATTTTGAAAGCATTTTGTTGTAATTGTCCACCTGTTGTTCCTTCCGATGCCAGCAAGTTAGTTTTGGGCATGCTTGAGCAGTTTCCTAGCTCTCCGGGATCATCCTCTGATAGTTCATCTACGAGTCCGGGATCATCCTCTGATAGTTCATCTACGAGTGTGGGTGATGGTAGAAGCAGTGCGGATAGTGGTGAAGTTGTTGAGGAGGCTGTAGATAGCATTGAGAGACGAGAAATGGCACTGAAGGTGATAGGAAATGTACTGGATAAATCCTCCATCGATAACAGTCTATTGGAAAATGTCAGATTTATTGTACAGCAACAATTTCGCTCAATGGTAGCATTCTTAAAGGTAAATAGTTCATGATCTTGATGTTTATTCTGTATGTGTTGTATTTTATCTCTTCAGGGTAGAAGTTGCATGTTACTATGGTTGCAGCTTATTCTGTTACATGCATGGGTATTGTTACGTTGCAGCTTATTCTGTTACAGTTTATTTTCTTTACTTGGTTGACTGACAGAAAAGTAAGCATGACTGGTCGGGACAAGGGCAGTCACTGAAAGTTAGGATCAATGCCAAGCTTTCTGCTTATCAAGCAGCAGCCAGGTTGCAGATTAAAATTCTTGGATCCCTTGATTTGGATGGAAAATCATCAAAATGTTTGTTGCGTGGAGCTCTTGAGTTGTTGATAGGCGCTGCAGAGGCATGTTTATGCTCTGCATGGCGGAAGTTGAGAGCATGTGAAGAACTATTCAACTCCTTGCTTTCTGGAATTTCCCGTGCTGCTGTTGCTCGTGATGGTCAGATGCTTGAATTTCTGCTCGTTCGGTTTAAGCCTCTTGTGCTGGACACATGTGCTCAGGTACGAGTTTCGGTGCTTTAGGTTACACTTAATGGTTCAGTCGTAATTGCAGAATCTAATATAACTTGTTGATTTGGATTTTTTCACCACAGTCAGACACCTGGGACAGCAACGGCGGGGCCATGTTTGAAAGCGTGTTGAAGACAAGTTGTGAGATAATTCAGTTTGGATTGTACAAGAATCAATTTTCTGTATATACTTTTATTACAAGCATTCTTGAAAGGAATCATTATAAGGAAGAGGTTAGTTTTATCTTGCTTTTTTCTAGCAGTTTGAATAACTCATATTCGTTAATAATTTACTAGTGGAAGGAAAATGGATGTTTCTTGATGAATCAAGAGGTACTAAACACCGATTAAAAAAAATCAAGAGATACTAAACACTACCAGTTTTCTGGAGTTGCTAGGTATTGCTTAATGGTATACAGACCTTTCTACCTCATTTTAGACTGTTGATTATACCACTCACCTTCTACAAAACTGTCTTTTCCAAGTTGATAGTTTTCTGTCCACTTTTTCACATTGATATCTTGGAGTCATGAAGGCCCTTTCGCTTGTAATTGGATAAGGGGTTATGCTGATTCTTTTTAAAACTAGATCAGCCATAATGTCATTGAATGTGAGTCAATTTTGGAATAATGTTTTTCTACTTCTACAGTTCGTGATCTTACAGTTAATGTAAATTAAATCCATCCATCTCACTCTCTGTTTATAATAATATTCTCCAGTAGACTCTAGCTTCCTTGTGTTCTTCTTCAATTACTGATTATTCAAGCTTTTATCCACTATTCTGGAAAGGCAACAATTTATAAATATTTTGTTAGTTCAAGATTATATCTGTGAGCTTTTGTTTTGCTTTAAACTTTGCTTGAAATACCTATAACTCAGTTAGAGGTTTGAAATTACCTAAGCTTCTGCAAGTAGAGGTTTAAAATCCACTGTTTGATTGGCTAATGCATACTTGTGCCAATAAACAAGCATCTTTCTGATTGCCCTGTGACAAAGTAGAATCTTATATGTTTATTCCAAGGTGGGGATATCTTACAGATTTGGTAGCAGGCCACCTAAGAGGCTCATATGTATTTGCATTTCTCGAAAGGGACATATTGCTTAATTCTTTTAGTGTTTCTTTATGTCTTCTTTTTGTTAATATTATCTGCAAATACTTACATTTCCAGGTAGAGAAAGAAAAGCAGGCAGCTCCTTCCCTGCAGTTGAACTTTATAAGGTTACTAGCTGATCTCAAATTTTCAATTAAGAGGCCTGAAGTTGTGGATGTGATATTGCCTTTCTTCATTGAAAGTTTAGAGGAGGGTGATGCATCAGTACCAGGCTTATTGAGACTCCGAGTATGAAACTCTCTTTTCATCAGGAACTGCACTTGTATCTTTGCTTCATTTACTCAAGTTATGAAACCCTTTACTCTGTGAAGTGAGCTAATTAATCACTCTCTCTGAGTCTTTCAACTTGTTTTTTTTGAGCTGCTACAGCTGCTTGCTGCTGTTGCTCGCCTGGCGAGTTTAGGTTTTGAGAAGTCCTACCATGAAGCTGTTGTTCTGATGACAAGGAGTTACTTAAGTAAGCTTGCTGCTGTTGGCTCAACTGAAAGTAAGACCACAGCTCTAGAAGCCACAACAGAACGTATTGAGGTGCGCTCATGGTGGTTTTATCATATTATAGAATTCAATAATCCCTGAGAATTTCTTATTGATCGACTGCTCACATGTTCAACCCCATTCTAGACACTCCCAACAGGATTTCTTCTGATTGCCAAATCCCTGACTACTCCTAAGTTGCGTACTGACTACCGTCATCGTTTGCTATCCCTGTGCTCAGATGTGGGCTTGGCTGCAGAGTCAATAAGTGGAAAGTAGGCCTTCCTAACGTTGGCTGAAAATGTGCTTTACTTGACTGCTTCTGGAGAAACTCAGGTACATTGTGTTTTGCAGGTGTGGAGCAGATTTTCTTGGGCCTCTCCTTCCTGCCGTGGCTGAGATATGCTCAGATTCTGATCCTACTGTTGACATTGAACCTTCACTTTTGAAGTTGTTTAGAAACTTGTGGTTCTATGTCGCTCTCTTTGGGTTAGCTCCTCCATTACAGGACCATCATGGCATGACAAAGTCAGTATCAACTACTCTAAATAGTGTTGGCAGCACTGGAGCGATTTCCCTTCAGGCAGTGAGTGGTCCATACATGTGGAGTGCTGTTTGGTTCTCTGCTGTCCAACGCATTTCTCAAGGAACCCCACCACTTGTAAGTTCGGTTCTAATTTAGAAGTTCAGCCTCTGAGCAATATTTGTGATCATCTTCTCCAAGAATACTTAGTTCTTATGTTGATATTTGCTGCACTGCGTTGCAATCAATCTTGAGACACATCTTGGATTTAATGTTTAAGATGTTGCACGTGTAAGTGCGTTCCCATGTCAAGTGTGCCACTTACTGAATTTTCATCCCAACTTATTAAGCTGTTTTTCTGTTCATTCCCTCTTGCTCATATAGCTCTAATATCTTGTTTTTTCTCATCTTCCTCAACTAAGATGAGGTTCATTTTGGAAAAAACCAACATTATGGAAACATAAACAACAATACCACACCTGAATCCAAAACTAGTTGAGCTCGACTATTTAATCCTTTGAATCCATTTTGTTCTTTTCGGGTAATTTATTCCTATATCCGTGAATATTAATCTGTTTGGGCAACTTAAATGTTTTTTAAAGTTAGGATTCCTTAAATCTCACACTGTCCTACCAAACCTAGTGCGAGTGTAACAACAATAACAATTAAGCATAAATCTCAACCTGTTGGTATGGTAGTATCCCTTGCTTCGAAGGTGTTAGTTCTTGGCTAAGTTAGGTTTGATTCTGGTATATTGTAGATCGTTTGAGAAAATGTATCTCCACATGATTTTAAATTGTCTCTTTTTAGTACATTCAATCATCATAATGTCATGCTTAGGCCTGGCAGATCTGGAGGTCTGCATAGAACATAGTCAAACCATTTCAGATGACTTTCTCTCATTTTATCTTCTATTTGTGTTACTTGCAACCTCTGTCTTATATGATCATTCCTAATCTTATTTAGTTTTGTATGACCGTATACCCATCTTAACATCTGCATTTTTTAAATTTCAGGATCAGGTAAAGATCTTAACATCTGCATTTCTACCTAATATTCATTTTTTTTAACGTTACCATTTCACAACTGTTTTAACTTTTATAGAAGTTACCTTTTGCTTTGTTAGGTATCTTTCTATTGCATACAGTCCTCAATTTAATGATTCCTATTCTAGTTTTATGTACCACATCTTTACCTATTATGCAATTCTTCTAGAACACTAAGTTTAAACAACTGAATTGTCTGCATATAGGCACCGCAATTCCATCCAATCTCATTTAACCTTTGTTCGTCTTATGGGTCTAAACTTGCTGTTCACACATTACGTCTTACTTCTGCTTAATCAAGAGAGTATTGTTTATATTTTCATCTTGTCTCATGTATTGTTTCTCGTTTCATGAAATAATGTAATTCATTTAACTGAATAGTTTGGAATTCCTGCAGGTTTAGCAAAAGATATACATCTATATAGCTGATTCTAGTTGGAAATACCTGTGTAGGTCTTGTATATGCTAGTAAAAATAGAGAGAAATTCTAACACACACACACACACATACACACACAAGTCTTAGGATCCTTTATATTAATGAAGAGATTTTTTTTTAAAAATTATATAAATATTATAGAGAAATGTAGTCGAGTTATATAATTGAAGTTACATGAAAAAGTACTATATGTTTTTTTAAAATGGAAAACAAATTATTCTATCCGCCTCTTAATGTTATGATAACATTTTTTGATTAACCAGAATAAGTGTATGATAGTGAATTGTGATATAAAAAAAATAACTGTTTTAATTGATACACACATATCTTTTTACAAAGGTGATTAATATGAATAATACAGTAATCACTAACCAGAGAAATAATAAAGCTTAAAATTTATCTGAAATTTTTGTCAATTGTCCCACTTTATCAACTTAGTAAATGGCCGTTTTTTATTTCTATTGCAAATGATGGATCTTTTAGACCACGGTCTAAAGATCCTATTTTAGAAAACTGAAATTTTTTGAGAAAATATTAAATAGTAGTCTAAATCTTATAAAGTTTTACAAACGCTAGACCACAGTGTAATGTTTTATGAGCAAACTTAAAGTTATATGAGCAAACATTTGACCTGAGTTTAACGTTGCCCGGAAGGGATAATTTTTCAAAGTCTATATTTGCATAGCTTTTTTCAAATAGGGAGAAAATCTAAACAGTGACCTAAAAAGGGATATTTGTGTAAGTCAGCCAAAATTCATTGAGGAGATGGTAACGTATGATTAGGTGATTCAGTTAAAATACTTTGATATTGTCTAAACTGCAAAAAGAACAAAATTAAGTTTAATAAATAATTGCTTAAGCAAGTTGAATATAATTCTCACGTTTACCAATACTTTTTGAGAAATAATTACTAAATACTGTAAATATATAGATGTTTAGCATTAGGTAAGTTGTTTTCCTTTTTTAGTCAGATATTCCCGAAGGGACTCGTAAGTTGTTTTCCAGTTAGTTAAGACGAAGCTCGAGCGACATGCAGAGCTTGAGTTATATATCACTATTGTTATTATTAGTATTTTTTTAATTTTATTTTTACTTGGTTTAATGTTGGCCCGAGATGAGCTTAAATGGAGAGGAGGGTCAGGAGGATTCATATAGCCGACCCAAACGTGTTTCTCATTGAGGCATAGTTGTTGTTTAACTTAATTTTTTTCTAAGGGTCTACGTGCTGTTTACCAGGTTGTGAGCTCCATGAAGTGGCTTGAAGATGAGTTGGAACTAAGTGCTCTTCTTAAAGGTAGTCGGCGTGGTGGTGGCAATGAGAAAGCTGCCGTTAGCCAAAGAACGGCTGTTTCTGCTGCTTTAAGAGGGTGTATGGAACTTTCAGCAATGAGGGCAATTTCCGGTTTGTAGAGTTTTTCATGTTCAGTTTGAGAAGGAAACCAAGTTCTTAATGACTTCAATTGTTTGGGAGATATTCTTTGCTTAGATACAAGTGATGATCGCAATGTTTTTTAAGCCTCATAGATACTCTTTTTGGCCTCTACAGGTGTCAAGTCAACTTATCTACTTGCAGTAGCATGTTTGGAGATAACACGGTTTAGTAGCAATGCTGGGATCCTCAATGTGGGCCCTAGTTCAACAGCTTCTAGAAGTGCCTTCAGCTGTGTCTTTGAATACTTGAAAATTCCTGGCCTCACACCGGCTATCTGTCAGTGCTTGACAGCCATTGTTCACAGTGCTTTTGAAAAAGCAGTAGCATGGCTGGTAATTTTAACTCTGCTGAGCTTGTCTTGCTGTTATGGACATAGTTCGTCACAGTATCGAATCAACAATGTTTATACTGTATAACATTAACATATCCCTTTAGCTGCTCCCGCTGTCCCAATTTATGTGACACTCTTTCCTTTTTTGTCAGTCCCAAAACGAATGACTCCTTTCTATATTTAGTAACAATTTAACTTAAACTCCCTATTTTACCCTTAATGAGATGATTTATAGTCACACAAATATCTATGGCTTTTTTTAGACCACAAGTTTCAAAAGTTTTTCTTTCTGTCTTAAACTCCGTGCCCAGTCAAACACCATATAAATTGGAACAGATGGAGTATTTTTATTAATGAAAAGCTAAAAGGTGATCATATTTTTTAAACAAATATAAGTTTCTGATCCTCTTCTTTTGCATTCCCTTTCCATTTCTTATCTTTTCTCCTTTTACATAAAGGTCATACGATCCTTGTAAGTTGCTGCAGGAGGATCGGGTGTCAGAGACTAGATCAAGAGCAGACTATAAGGAATCTACACTGACCACCCATGTCAGTTTTCTTGTAAGAAGTTTGTCCCAAAGGAATGAGCATATACGAGATATCTCAGTTAACTTGTTGAATCATTTAAGAGATCGTTTTCCTCAGGTGGACTTTTATTGCTGCTTGTACCAAGTGTAAAGTTTGTTACCTTTGCCTTTTGCCATTGCTTGATGCAAAGGTTGAATAATTTACTGGCTTGCAGATTTTGTGGAACTCTTCTTGTCTAGATTCAGTATTATTTTCAGTGCACAATGATCTGCCTTCATCTGCAATCGATGATTTTGCTTGCATTGCTACTATTCGCTCCTTGTACCAAAGGACTGTTCGCGAATGGATGATTCTTTCACTTTCACAGGCTCCTTGTACTAGTCAGGGGCTTCTTCAGGTTTGTTATTCCATCAGTTTCGAGCTTCATGACATTGTTGTGTAACTCTTTTTCTTCCGTGTTACTTATGTCAAGTATGTTTATTAGTCTACGATCAGGCGATTGTGCATATTCTCTTGATAAGGGATAGATGCACTTTATTAGAGTGCAAAATGAACAATTAGGTCTTTCTCTCCACTATGATGTAGAGGAAATGTATTTTGTTGGAAAAGCGTCACTAGTCCTTAACATTGTAAAAACATTGTCTTCTTTCAACTCGCGTATGTGGAGACTGTATTTTAGCTTATTCGGTACCTAGAGTTTAAAATATTAGATACCTTTTTGCCGAAAGATCTAATTTTCCGTGGTTCATACTGATGTTTTACTGGCTCATTCCCTTCTTTGCAATCTATTTCATATTATCTATTGCACATATTATTAGCTAATCTCTTTCCGTGCTTCAGGAAAAACTTTGTAAAGCAAACGCTTGGCAAAAATCGCAGCCTACAGCAGAAGTTGTTTCTCTCTTATCTGAAATAAAAATTGGTACTGGTAAAAATGACCATTGGACCGGAACAAAAACAGCAAATATTCCTGCTGTTATGGCTGCAGCAGCTGCAGCATCTGGAGCAAAATTAAATTTGAGGGAGTCATTTAATTTCGAGGTGCTCAGTACTTGTATGATCAGTGCAACTGCGAAGTCTAATCATGCTGGGGAAATAGCTGGAATGAGAAGTTTATATGGGAGTTTTGGTAGCCTTGATCCCCCAGCTTCAGGTCCTGGTGATATGGTGGAACATTTGCAGCCAAAAACTGGGTCCTTTTCTGAGGTTTTACTTAAAAAGTTTGTCCGACGGCTCCAGGAATTTATTAATGATTCAGAAAGAGGGAGAGAAGTAGATAAATCATCATTCCATGAAACTTGTTCTCAAGCAACTGCTCTTTTACTCTCTGATCTGGTATAATCAAGTTCTAGTTTCAAGCAGTCTTTGCTTTCCTAGGGCCTTGGGCTGAAATGAAACTTCCATTTCCCCCTAAATTTTGTTTTTCGCTTTACATGTTACTGAATTTGCTGTTGTCCACAGGGATCAGATTCTAAATCAAATGTAGAAAGCTTTTCAAAACTTTTACGTCTTCTTTGCTGGAGCCCAGCTCATATATTGACATCCAATGCCATGGAGACTGGTGTATTTATTTGGACATGGTTGGTTTCAGCTGCTCCTCAATTGTGTTCTCTAGTACTTGCTGAGCTTGTTGATGCATGGTTGTCTACAGTCGACACAAAGCGAGGTCTTTTTGCATCTGAAGTTAGGTGTTGTGGACCTGGTGCTAAGTTAAGGCCTCACCTGGGACCTGGGGAGCCAGAAGCCCCGCCTGAAAAGGATCCTGTTGAACAAATAATGGCCCATAGACTATGGCTTGGGTTCTTTATTGATCGTTTTGAGATGATTATCAGTGTTTCAATGCTTTTAACTTCCTTAGCTGTTCCCTATGAATAAATGCAGTGATCAAGCACATGCTGCTCTATTGTCCACCCAAAGTGGTTATGTTAGAGATGATGTAACATTACACTTAACCCATCACTTATTTGAAAATTAATTGGATAATTGTATCTGTATGATGTTTTGCTTCCTTTATCAAATACTTCAGTAGTAGTCTTTTGAGTTTCGAGTTAAAATATATGGGATTTTCCATGGTGATACCAATTTTACGATGTTTGTGTCTTTAGCTTTTCTCTTATTTTATCTATTTAGCTATGGTATAACTTTTACCGAGTATCCTCTTGCACTTGCAAGAGCAGCCCTCAGTTCCCTTTCTCACCAATTTCTTGCACTTATGCTGTTTCTATGTGGATTACTACGATGTAGATAGTATTTGGTTTGTTGAATGTTTTTTTCTGTTTGACTTGGTTGGAATGTGGTTATACTGCAGTAGAGCTACTATAATCCTTGCTAACCTTGATCACAGCTGAGACGATGACGTTTTCTACGCTTTCGAGCTTTTCCGTTTTTGCTCGACTTCTTGAGACACTCCTTTTTCCAGGGGGTCAATAGTTGTCTAAGAAAACATGGTTTAAACCATTCATTAACAAAGACAAATAATAAACCATTTTGGGAAAAACACTGTCTTTAAGTAATCTTGATAATGTTGCTAGAAGTTTTCAACTGATGTCTTACCTGAATCATTGTATCAGACTTTTGATTCTCTTAACTGTATATAAAATAGTAAATTGAAGTTTTTTGTCCTTTTGAAAAACTTGTCTTTGCAGGTCGTTCAACATGATAGTGTTTCACAGCTTTTACTTTTAGGGCGGTTGTTGCGAGGAACTATCAAACTACCTTGGAATTTTTCTTCCCACCCAGCTGCTACTGGCACATTTATCACCCTCATGCTTCTTGGATTGAAGTTTTGCTCGTGCAAGTTACAGGGTAGTTTGCAAAACGTCATGGCTGGGTTTCAGCTTCTAGAAGACAGAATATATCGGTAAAGACTTGACTTGCCTTTAATTGGACTAGTATGCTTGTTTGCATTGTGAATAGAGGCAGGGGAATGAGTAGTGGAAGGTCCTTGCTCATTGTCTCTTAGCCCCAATATCTTTCTAGTAGATATTAAGTTGCACACAAAATTTCTCTATTTGTTTATGGAAGTTTACATCAGACTTGGGAATTTTTGGATTATGCCGATCTTCTGATTCATTTAAACATTTGGGTGATGTTCATTTTCAGGGCTTCATTGGGGTGGTTTGCTCACCAACCTGAGTGGTATGACATGAATAAGAGCTTTGCGCTGAGTGAAGTGCAGTCTGTATCTATGTTTGTCCATCATCTTTTGAATGAGCAGTTAGATAGTTCCCAACTTGATTTCAAAGGGCGGGCACTCGTAAATGGAATCTCTTTGAATGATGTGGTGAGATTTATAAACGAGTTGATGAAGACCATGCTTCTTACATCATTGAGCAACTTGTGCCAAAAATATCCTTAGTTTTTGTCATAAGAACAGTTTCTTTCCTTCAACTGCAATCAAATTTTTATGGTCCTTGTGCTCTTTTGTTAACTTAATGATGCTCGCAGAAAAATCAACACCATCCTGTTTGGGGCCAAATGGAGGGCTATGCTGTTGGGAGGGAGAAGCGGAAGCAGTTGCTTCTGATGTTATGCCAGCATGAAGCTGACAGGCTTAATGTCTGGGCACAACCTACTGCCAAGTAATACACAATGATTGCTGATTGTGTTTGTCCCTGTTTTAACTTCCTCTTCTATTGTGGGTTGTCATTATTGTTATTAATTCTTCCAGTATCAGGGAAAGCACTTCACGTCTTAAAATCAGCTCTGAGAAATGGGTCGATTTTGCTCGAACTGCCTTTTCTGTAGATCCTCGTATAGCTTTTTGTCTTGCTGCAAGGTTTCCTACAAATAATCATCTGAAGGCTGAAGTAACGCAATTGGTGCAAGTATGTTTCTCCCTCCCAGTTTTCTTATCCTCCAGTTTTTTAATCAAACCCTGAAGTACCTGAATGATAGATATCTCAAGAGAGAATATGGAATACTTGAAACAGAAATGGGATAAGTTGACTTTAGGATGATGCAGGTCACTTTATTTGTTTATTTTCTTGAAATATTTATGCAAACGCATCTAAAAAGAAGGGCATTTGTGCATCATATTACAACCAGTTTCTCAAGTAGGTAACAAAACTTTCTAACCAGCAATAGAAAGATGTCCTTTATGATTTATTCAATATTAATATCTTTCCGTCTGAGTGAGGGTTGATGCTTTAAATGGAGGAAAGTTGCTTTTGGTATGGAACACTACCCAATTAGATGTTATGGCATCTTTTTGGCCAAAAAGATGGGGGAAAGTTGCATCCGTAGAATATGCTTGCAACTTGTCTGTTTCATCCCTAGTGTGCCTTGATATCTTTGGTAACAACATATGCCTTGCCTTGGTATCATCTTTTTATGGATTAGCAAAGCTTTATACATATAAGCACCGCGAAGGTGCAACATACAAAATTTATGTAGGTCTTTGCTCCTTTTTAGCAAAGAAAGGAGTCGATGAAATCAACTTTGATAAGAATAGTGTCGAACTTGAGCTGAAGTATCAAATAATGTTTTGCTGCCTTGCATTTCAGACAACTAAAATGTGTTTAACTTCAAAATTTCCTCCGCTCCAAGCTCTATTTCCTCTGCTCTTCTAGGTTGGAATAGACTTCCCCTGGTAAAAGTTTCTGTTTGTTCACGAAGAAAATATGAGGATCACTCATACGAAACAGCTGAATATGCGGCACTATTGGGAAACTGTGATCTGGCTGACAAGAAGCTCAATTAATTTTTGTGAGGGATTCTCTTGGAGGAGGGGATTATACTCTCAAATGAGGACTCTAATCTAGAAAAAGAGTGGGGAATGAATATGGTGATGGAGATAAACATAAAAACAGGGGATAGTGGGTCAAAATTGGTTCTTGGAGAATGCATAACGAAGAATTCATTACAGATTGCTGATGAAACTGCTCACTCCATCAGGTCACTGAATCGCTATAAAGGTCTAACAAAAGGTAACGTCAGACCATGATGGCAGAGCTACATGATTTTTGAAGTTTTTAAGCATATCATGGTTATTCATGGGTCTGAAAAGGTAAGGTTCATTATCTCTCCTTTAAAATCTTATAATAAGAAAAAATAAAGGTTGTTCATGATACAAGCTGAAGGAGTTAGCATTTGGCAAAGAGATTGTGAAGCAAGACAAGGAAAACCACCGGACATGAATGAGGGGAAGCATTAAACAAGAGTGTGACTTTGATGGTTTCAAGTCAGAGTCAACTATGATGATGACAAGAGTTAATGGAAAATAAAGATCGGGAAAGAAATTGAAATCAGAGGCTAGGAGTAGTTTCTTTTGCTTAAGTTTTGGGGTTGTCTAAATGTGTTATTTAGGGCTTATTCTTCTAATAAAATATACTCCCTCCATCCAAATTTATGTGATGGTGTTCGATTGGGTATGAAGTTTAAAAAAGAGACTCTTGAAACTTGTGGTCTAAAACATGCTATAGACGGCTTAAAAATCATTTCATTAAGGGTGGAAGAAGTTTAAAGTTATAATATTTCTAAATATTGAAAATTTTCGTTCTTTTTTTGGAATAGACTACAGTGTTGTTAAAGGCTTGCTTAAAGCGCGCTTAAGCCCCAGAAGCTCGGTGAAGCCTGGTTCTCTGTAAGGGCACAACAACGAATATATAGCTTAATTATAGTTTTTCCACTCTTTTGTTTAATTTTTTTTTTATGTTTATAGTTATATTTTTTGCATTACATTTCTATTTTTAAATTTTTCTTCATCAACGCTTTTCAACACTAAAGCCCACGATTAGTTGCACTTTATGCTTAAAGCTCCAGCAGAATTTGGAGCTTTTCGCTTTTGACTACTTTGTGACTAAAAAAGGAAATTGTGTCACATAAAATGGGACAGAGGGAGTATTTCCTATAAAAAAATTGGGTAGAATTCAGCTACTAATATAGACAGTATCCATGATTTTAAAAACATTAATTCCTTGAATGACAGAAGTGATGATTTTGACAGCATAGATCACTGTATTTCTAGATCTTTTTCTTGTACAGAATAAAGCCAATCAATTGTCCTTAAGTTCACTTGATCCATTCAAATTTTCTCATATTCTTGAAAATGATGTCATGTTGTGCTTTCAGAATCAATCCTTTCAGATGTCACTTTCATTTTATTATCCAGTTTGAGTGTTTGAAACTTTCAAATTTGGCCTTGTCCGAATACACTCTTTGGCAGATTTTGAATTAAAAAACTGGTTATTTCCAACACTATGCTTGGGTTGACCAGAGGTTTCCTCAAATTTGTCCAAATGGCTTTAGTTGTCATCAATTGCCTTAGCATCTATTTTGCCTAGGTAGTTCAGGCATGGAATTTTATGGAAAACATATTTTTTTGGGTGTTCTCACTAAATGTTTGCTCATTGCCATGATTTTTTCTTTTACTGCAATGGGTTACTTACTTTAAATTGTGAAAGTCAGAGTCAAACCTCTTTGCAGATACTAGAAAACAAAATTGTACATATTATTGCTAGGGCCGCTTTAGGTATGTGACAAGCTAAAAACTGTCAGACAAATGCTTATCCTGAATAAATTTCTTTTGAAGTTGCTATGTTTTTTTGTGTTCTGCTTGCTGCTATTTCTCTGTATTGCTTGCTCATGTTTGTTAACTGTAACCTGATTTGTTGAATTTTTGGAGCAGTTTTCCTCATTATGCTAATTGTGTTAGGCCCTGTAGCCTTATTGGTTCTGATGAATAAAATCTAGTCCAAGAAAAGGCATTTAGTAAGAAACAAGGATAATCTGATCTGAAGATATATCTGCTCACAAATGTTCTTTTGAGATTCTGGTGATCTTCCATGGCATCTTAAGGTCGGATATTTTTTAGTTTTGTCTTACATGCAAGGAAATAGGACTTAATATACTGCTCCTAACCTGTCAGCTTTCTCTGGAGTTGGCCTGTTTTACAATCTTAGTAGTCGTACTTTGTATCCAAAAACTTGACTTGATCTTGTCATTGAAATTCCTTTTATAGCTATCATTTTGTTGAACTATAGCTTTTTATTTTCGTTTTTTCCTTTCTTGAATTCCGTGTTTGATGAAAATGATTATCTTGCTTCTATTACAGTTGCATATATTGGAGATACGTCACATACCTGAAGCATTGTCATACTTTGTTACACCTAAAGCCACTGATGAAAATTCAACTCTTTTACAACAATTGCCACACTGGGCTGCTTGTTCAATTACACAGGCGCTAGAGTTCCTCACACCAGCATACAAGGGTCATCCACGCGTAATGGCTTATGTTCTAAGGGTGTTGGAGTCCTATCCTCCTCAAAGAGTAACTTTCTTCATGCCCCAATTGGTGCAGGCCCTGAGATATGATGGCGAGGTGTGTTTTACTGGACTTTGTGATGTGAACTTCTTTTTTGGCTTTTAATCATCTGGCTAGCAAGTCAAACAGATGTACTCTCGGAAGTTAATTCATTACTTCAATGCTTTTACATAGTTCCCACCTTGGATTTAGCATTCTTGTCAGTATCCAGATATTATTACTCTTTCATGAAACAACAATTTTATGGTTATGATAAAGATGAGTGAATGATTCTGTTTGTACCTGTAGGCAAAATGAATAGAATTAAATAGTAGATATCACAATGGCTTTTCATCTCGAAGTAGTTCTCATATAACTTCCTTGTGTCTCAACTGCCCATCGGTCGTGTGCATCAATGGCAAAAGATACTTAATCTTCTTGCATATAACAGATCTGATTGACCCTAATCATGTGATTTTAACCCATGCAGAAATTAGTAGAAGGATACTTGCTCAGAGCTACTCAAAGGAGTCACATATTTGCCCATATTCTAATATGGAATCTGCAGGTTGGAAGCTTTTTCTTTATTTCGGTTTTAAGATGACTACCTTGTAGGATAATAATAAATCTGTTCCCTCTTGCTTTATGGTGAACGTGGGTTTGGTTCTCTATTATAACCACTAACCTGAAAAGCACTTGCAGGGCGAGACTTGTGAGCCGGAGTCAGGAAAAGATTCTTCTGCAACGGTAGATAAATTCAACTAATACCTCTTGATATTATACCATCTAATGCACCTTTTTCTAAGCACTCTTATCTAGTTCTCTTTCCATAAGCATGTCGTGCACAAGGCTCTTTTCCTTTGCGACTATATTGTCTCAGGTTTTTTCCAATGCAATCTTTATTTTTGTTGCATGGATAACCATCCTTATCTGTAAGGAGATCCTTTTTTATCAGTTAAGGAGATCCACTTATCTGTTTTCTGTATGATTCACTTTTACTATTCTCTCTCTCTCTCTCAGACCTTCACATGGTATGTGATGTGCATTTCCTTTGTTCATATGCTCTCTCTGTCTAACTTACCTTTTGTATTGACACATGAGCACATTTTTGAAGTCAACAATTCGTTTACTTGTAGCTGTTTCACATCATAAATTCTTGCACTTACCTACACATTGGTGAAATAGCTTTTATTTTTATTTTGTATTATTTTCCTTTTATAACTGTAAATATCTATGTGTTTTTATCTTCAGCATGCTGCATTTTTGGCCCTACTTCCTCTTGTGAGGCAACGGATAATTGACGGGTTCAGCGAAAAGGCTCGTGATGTTTTTCAGAGAGAGTTTGATTTCTTTAACAAGGTCACATCTATATCTGGTGCACTCTATCAACTTCCCAAGGAGGAACGAAGAGCTGGCATTCGTAGGTAAAGTAAAATGTGCGCCAAGATTTAATAATTTATAGTTGTTTTATTTGTCAACCAAAAAATTGCATATTTATTTAAGTGCTGTGTGCCTTTGGATATTTGTATATCTTGAAACAAACTTCATATTTTGAGTAACTAGGGAGTTGGAGAAAATTGAGATGCAAGGAGATGATCTCTATCTACCTACTGCTCCTAATAAAATCGTGAAAGGGATTCAGGTTGATAGTGGAATTCCCTTGCAATCCGCTGCCAAGGTTCCTATTATGATCACATTTAACGTGGCAGATCGAGATGGGGATCAAAATGACATAAAACCCCAAGCCTGTATATTCAAGGTAAGAATGGGGGATATAACTGTATTTTCCTTCAATTGTCCTCTAGAACTTTAGATATTTTCATTTCAAACAAAAGAAAATCTGCCTGTGGTCTTGAAAATTAGGTGCTTTTCTTATCTTACCTGATACATCAGTTTTAAGGAATAGAACTTAGAAGTTATGCCATTAATTGCTTTCAGTTTTGAACTCAGTAAGTAGATGAACTTGACATGGGCTCAATAATCCTGAATACTTTATGCAATTAGTACTAGCTTATTCAAATGATGTAGATTTAGTATTGACATCTCTGTTGTTAAACACTAAAAGTTTTCTCAAAGTGGGTGTATCACCTCACCTAAAAAATTTCACTCTCCTAGAGAAGACATTTCTATTTATTTATTTAGGTTCCGCAACACTTCTTCACGTGCTCATCTGATTCTTTTCTTGAACCAAATACATAAATATATTTGAATGACGATTGGCTTTAAAACTTGAAAGCAGGACTTATGTATGATCAGATATCTTTAGATTGTGTAACCTATCTCATCTACAAACTTAAGTTGTTAGATGGCACTTGAAATAATTCAGTATGCTAACGACCCATTTCTTGTTTATGCTACTTTACATGTAGCTAAACTTCATTTTTCTTTGGCATAGGTTGGAGATGATTGTAGGCAAGATGTTCTTGCTTTACAAGTCATTTCACTTTTGAAAGATATCTTTGAAGCTGTTGGGCTTAATCTTTATTTATATCCATATGGAGTTCTCCCAACTGGCCCAGAAAGAGGAATAATTGAGGTGAATCCTTGTATGACATCTACATCTAGTTTCATGGATGCTTGTGCTTTCATAATGAAGTTTTCATATGTGAAATATCTGGGAACTGCTTATTTATCCCGGAAACTGATATGGACTGAAACAGATTACAGTGAGGAAAAAAGACATGAAGCTGGAAAACCAATTAATAAAAACAGCAAAGCCAGTGTAATCCCAGAAGTGGGGTTTGGGGAGGGTTAGTGTTTACGCATACCCCTTACCTTGTGAAGGTAGAGAAGTTGTTTCCGATTGACTCAAGAAAAGCATAGTCACAGCAGTGTTTAAAACCAATAAAAACAAAAGAGAAAAAAAGAAAAAAAGAAAGTTACTGAAGAAATGACCATAGTAAACAGGAAAAAAGAAAGACTTATAAGGATGAAAACAAGCCATAGTAAAGAAATTTCAGTTTTGTTTACGAAGTAAACATAGATAAATTGTACATTGTATTTCTAATTTGTAATACATCAAACTAAATATTCAACGAGAAATAAGCGCATTACAATTCTTGCATTTCTAATCATTACACTACTAATCCTAGCATTACGAATCCCTGCAATAGTAATCCCAATATTAATAATCCCAGTATAATTTGTCTCTATGCCAAACGACCCCTTGTTATTTTGTGGTCTTATAGCTTTTTTTACCTCCAAAATATTTTACATCTGTCCTTTTGCAGGTTGTACCCAACTCACGGAGCAGAAGTCAGATGGGTGAGACGGCTGATGGTGGTCTATATGAAATTTTCCAACAAGACTTTGGGCCTGTTGGCTCTCCCGGTTTTGAAGCTGCTCGTGAGAACTTCATCATTAGCAGTGCAGGTTATGCAGTTGCCAGCGTGTTGCTTCAACCTAAGGATAGACATAATGGGAACCTTCTGATTGACAGGTAAGCACCTTACTCTTTGATTGTTAAGTATCCTAGTGGCAGTGCTTGTGATATTACACTTTATCCAATTCAAGTTTGGTGTTAAGGTGTGGAAACCTTCTAAACTATTGTGATGTCATGGTGGAAATGTTTTAAGTTGTTTTAACAGTTGACGTGCATGAACTAAGGGGAGATCACCTGCCGTTTCACGTGTTTGGAAGTGTTTTCTTAAAATGTTTTATGTCAGCGACCATGCCTTTCCTGCTTATATGTCAATGATGTGTCTATTGTCATAAAGTGGGCTCGTTTTTTCTGAATATGATTCAGATACCTTGTATGAAGTGTCAGATTAAGAAAATAAAGGAAGTCAAACATTTGTGGGCAAGCTCAAGTAGCCTTGTATTCGACATAACTAAATTGCTAATGACTTAATTATTCGAGCTCATTTGGCTATTGATTTATTAAGACTTCTTTTAATACTATAGATGGTATTTCTAGCTCTGCTTCAATATTGAATAAACCAGTCTTAAATGAATCTTAGCAGACCAAGAACCAATCCATGAGAATTAACTTCACTTCATAGTTGTGCGTTCCTTTTCAAAATGTTGTTTCCGCGTGAACGGTGCAGATTTTCTTGTGGAAGAGTTCATGAAAATGGACATATTTTTTGGACGCCAAAGAAGGGAATACATTATTCTGGAATAAATATGCATCTTTTAAAGCTTATCAATATTGGTTGGGTAATGTTGACCCATCTGCTGATGAATTTCCTTTTTTATATTGTTTTTCAGTGCTGGTAGGCTTGTCCACATTGACTTTGGTTTTATCCTGGAAATTTCTCCCGGAAGAAATATGGGATTTGAAAGTGCTCACTTCAAGCTGAGTCATGAGATGACCCAATTAATTGACCCATCTGGAGCAATGAAAAGTGAGACATGGTACCAATTTGTAAGGTAAGTGATCTCTTTTGGGCGAATTGCACTCTCTTCTTATGTATGAATATCTTTTTTCTTATGCTGAAGTTGGACTCGTTTTCCAGCTTGTGTGTCAAGGGTTACCTTGCTGCACGTCGCTACATGGATGGGATAATCAGTACAGTTTCGATGATGGTAGATAGCGGATTGCCTTGCTTTAGCAGGGGTGACCCAATAGGAAATCTTCAGAAGAGATTTCATCCCGAGATGAGTGAACGTGAAGCAGCCAATTACATGATTCGTGCATGTAGTGATGCGTACAATAAGTGGACGACTGCTGGATATGATTTGATTCAATACATGCAGCAAGGTATCGAAAAATGAGGGGGAGTGCTGCAGCATTTCACAGAAACTGTATATTCTGGTTACTTGTAAATCTGTGGAAACGGAAATGTATATGATCACATTGGTGTAATTCTTTTTGAAGGGGTAGCCACGTGAAGCTGCAAAGTGATCTTTAGTAAAATTGAATGAAGAAATACAGAGATGAGTTGACTTGCTTGTAAAAATTGTGTTTACTGTTTATACACTAATCGAGGCGTGTAAAAGCTAACTAGCGACTACTGTAGTTGAGCGTCCGGTTCTTCCCCAGACCCCGTGCATAGCGGGAGCTTAGTGCACCAGATTGCTTTTTTTTTTTTTTTTTATACATTGATACTTGATAGTATGAAATATTAATGTAGGAATACAACCGGTCATAGGCCTGTCTGTTGACACTATTTCAGTATACAATTTCACATAATTGTATAATCCGAAGGAATACGGTAATAAGAATTAATCACACTATTATATATTAAGGTATATATCATGTGAATTGTATAATCCAAAGGTACACAATGTCCATACCTGTTGGGTATTTTCCAAATATTTCCCCCTAAAAAGGTATAAACTGTAATATTTTGTAAAAATGGGTATTTTCAGGTAATTATTTTTGGTTGCATTCACATTTTCGTTAATTTTCCAATAAACTAGTAAACATTATCCAACATATAATGGTATTATTAATCTAGACAGTTGAAATGAGCTCTTACAAGGTTGGCAAGGAATAACACTTTCCTCATAGGAAGAGTACTTTAGAGAACTAAACATGAATGGCGGCTAGACAAAGAATGTTGCTCTCCAAATCAAAGAATATACCACTCAAAAATAATATATGAAAATAAAAATTAATAGCAAGAAAGAATTACTCTTGGGAAATCAAAGAATGTACCATTCAAAAATAATATTTGAAAAGGATTAATAGCAAGAAAGAATCTTGGGTTTTTTTTTGCTTATCTTGATAATGAAGCATCATCATCTTTACAACACCACAAATCCCTTTTAGAACAATCAACCTTACAAGAAAAGAACCAAAACCTTCAGTTATAAGTATTCATATAAAACCCCAAAGAAGTTGCACTAAATACATGTATAGTTCAAATATCTTGAATCAAGAATAGTTTCCTTTCCTTTTTTAGTATCAAATATTTTAGTTCCAAAAATGGCTGATGGACAGCTAAAACCTGTTGCATCTTTGCTTTTGGTACTCAATTTTTGCATGTATGTCATTGTTTTAGGCATTGGTGGATGGGCTATGAATTTCGGCATCGATCATGGTTTCATCATAGGTATACTCATTATCTTCAAACACTTAATTTTACAATTTTTTGTTAATAATTGTGTTATCTGAGTCTGCTTGTGTGTTCTTCGACTAATTACTTAGTTGCAGAGCCTGGTCTAACGCATAGGCAGATCTAGGACGGGTTTTTTAAGTTTAACTAAACTCACTGCTTTCGGCTGGAATTTTGTTAAAACTTTAAAACGTGCACATGACTAAATGATGCTTATTTTGAACTCACTGATTCTAAATCATGAATTCGCATCTTCTCAAACATTTTAAGAAAGATGGTTTGTGGATTATAATTTATATAAATTAACAAAGTTTGTATTTTTTTTTTAACAGGTCCAAGATTTAATCTTCCAGCACATTTCTCACCAATATATTTCCCAATGGGGAATGCAGCTACTGGATTCTTTGTTGTGTTTGCTTTGATTGCTGGAGTTGTGGGAGTTGCATCAATCCTCTCTGGATTCAACCACATTCGCTATTGGAACATTGACAGCTTACAAGCTGCTGCTTCTGCTGCCACCATTGCATGGAGTCTTACACTTCTCGCCACGGGGTAAGTTACTCGGATTTTACCTTCAAGGGGTGTGATGGGATGGATGAGATCATTCTATCCTTAACCATAGATCTCGTGTTTGAGCTGGGAATAGAAATACTCCTAGTAGGAGCGTTTCCCCTTTCTGGATTAGTCGGGCCAGTGGGTTCCAAATAGCAGATGATTATTCGAAAAAGAAGTCATTCAAAGTTTAACTTCCATGTATTGACAACGTAAAAGAATTTTTAAAACTGATCGCTTAAAAGATAACTTGAGGTAACTTTGCCTATGATAAAATGGAACTATGTGACACTCTAGGCGAATCTCACATCGACAAAACACGGGAGAGATGTTGGGTATATAAGTAAACATGCCTTACACCCTAGTGACGCGTTTTAAAGCCGTGCGGGCCTACGCCCAAAACGGACAATATCGCTAGTGGCTGGGATGTTACAAAGTAGTTACTCAGAAATAAGGCAAACAACCTGTTACAACATGTTAAATTCCACAGAAAATGTAAAAATTATTACCTTACACTGTCATTATATAGAAGTTTGATCCAAGTTGATAACTAGTATATCTCAAATTTTATGCAAAATATGCAGACTCTTTTCTTAAATTTTATACCATTTTATCTTTATAATATGACAAGTTGGATGCTCTTTTTTGCAGATTTGCCTGGAAAGAAATTGAATTGGAGTTAAGGAATGCAAGATTGGTGAGTATATGATATAATTGAATTACTCTGTTAATAGTTTTTGAAAAAAGAATGATATCACAATTTGTTAATTTTTTTTGTTTTGATCAATTTGCAGATAACAATGGAAGCATTCTTGATAATCCTATCTTTCACTCAATTGGTGTATATAGCTGCCATTCATGGGACATCAACAAGGAGATAAATGAGCTTGATATCTAAATCATATAGTGTGAAGAGAGTGGATTGAGTACTTTTCCATTTTTAATTTTTTGTAATTCTCATTCTTGTTTGTACAAATACATATTCGACTGAATTCGTATAAAATAAATAAGTATTTCACAGTACGAGTGAGGGTCACAGACTCTAAGATCTTTGGACCGTGACAAACTTACGTCCCTAAGGGGGTTGTAGGTAACATTATAGGAAAATCCTACATCGATAAAACACAGACAAGATACTGGATATATAAAGAAATAAGTCTTACACCCGTAGTAGCGCATTTTAGAAGTGTACATTGTACAGGCCTAGACGCAAAGGGGACAATATCACTGGTTGGCGAGGTGTTACAATGAGGTAAAGTTAGAAACATTACATTGAGAACCAGAAAAACAACATTCCTCTCATAAATTATGCATTTACTTAGTGCAGAAGAATGAAAAGGGGTAAATACTGAAGTAACAGATAGGGAAGCATATGTCAACAAAGTTAAGGAATTTCAATAGTATGTGTTAAAACTATCAAAAACCAAAAAAATTTCTAATTTTAATTTCTCTAAGCAACTTAAGGAACAACTCTCCCTCAAAATTGGTAACATCACACCAATAAGCTAACCACTGCAAGAAAAACCAGGAAAGCAGTACAAAAATCAAGGGCCGTCGAGCTGCTTTTCAAATAAAACGAGGATAATAGAAATATAGGCTTGTATAACGATATTTCTAGCTCGTGATTGTACAAGAAGATGAATACTTTCATAAACTTCTATATTCACTAAAAACCTCCAAGATGTTGCTTGTCTACTCAACCTTCATACTCTCCTCTGCATCACGAAGAACATTTGCTTGGAATCATAATGTAACATGGTCTCTAGTCAACTACCAAATCAGCGACACAACAACAAAATCGTAAGTCCAGATTCAGTGATAGATGGAGTTGAAAACTCATCATGTTGTCCTGAATAATGATCATCATCACCGGAACAAGCGATAAATCATTCAGAAAATGTCAGTGGTACTAGCCCCCTATGTTGCTCGGACTCTCTGAAAATACCGTCGGGTGCGTGTAAGATCCTCCAAAACTAGTGCATTTTCTGGAGGATCTGACACGGGTGCGGCAATATTTTGGAGAGTCCGCACAACATAGCTAGCCCCAGGGCTTTGGTCTAGAGGTAAGAGCGCAGCTTGTGATGTGTCGGTAGGGCGCACATCATAGTTTCGAATCCTGTTGCAGACAAAAGCCCGGTATTTAAGTGAAGGGTAGAGGGACGAGCCCATTATCCACCGAGTTTTGAACCGTGCGCCACTGGCCCTCGGGAATTTCTTGGTTATTAAAAAAAGTCAATAGTACTTGTCAATGTCTGAATTCAGTCCACATATTCCTCAATACATCTCCCTTACCAGTTTCCTTCCGGTGTTAGCTATACTAACCGCACTCCCCATGCATTCTACCTAAGCTTAAATTGCATATATCATGTGAACCTATGTTACTCGGAATCTTCAAAAATATTGTTGGGTGTGTGTCGGATCCTCCAAATTTAGTGCATTTTTGGAGGATTCAATATGGGTGCGGCAGCACTTTTGGAGAGTCCAAGCAACATAGATGTGAACTATATTGCACTTGTGTATAGTCATCGAAGAATGTAGATCATCCAACTGATAAGAGAAAGTCAATAGTAGAGCCAATTTTCAGATTAAGAAGCACTTAATTATTACATCATCGAAGATCAAATTGAAGGATCAAGAACATAAAGAGAAACAAAAGGTCAAATGTAGATCATCCAACTGATAAGAGAAAGAAGGATTTCCAACCTCAAGTTATTTATTCGATCCTGCAAACACCTCAAATAAGCCACAGCAACTCTTCCAGGAAGTTGTTTGCACTGGTCGGGGAACCAAAGCTACTGGTGTCTGCATACATATAATTTCAAAATAATAAGTTTACAAGATGCGAAAAGAATAAACTGCCAGGTGCTTGGAGAATTCTACAACACTGTCTCAAAAAGCCAGAGGAGAAGTGGCAAACCTGATCGTCATGGGGAGAACCTTTCATCTCATCTGCTCGAACACTGGCATGAACTGCATGCGTATCACTGGAAAGCTCTAGTTTTTCTTCGTTTCGTAGGGCCGCAGAGGGCTTTGCATCTGAAGTTGCTACAGCATCATCATGTAATGTTGCGTTAGCTTCATTGTCCATTTTCTCTAATCCCGTATCCACCAAAACGTCTGAGACTCGGGTTTTCTCATCCATAACTCCCAAATCTCTCTCCTCATTTTCCTTCGCCGATGATTCAATGGAATGTAAGGTCCCTTCAGTTAACTGGTGTTGGTGATTCCGATGATCTTGAGGTGCAGAGGAACTTACCTCCCTGCCATTTGTCTCTCTATCATCATCATGCCTCAAATCCTCCGCACCTTCATGGATTGGTTCAGCATAGAAATACTTTGACAAATTAGCAATCACCCTCAATTGATACAACAACAGCTAAGCCTTAATGCTAAACAAGCTGGTGTCGGCCAATATGAATCCTCACTGACATATTCCTCATTTAAATTCATCTCAAGACTAAGGGCAGATCGGTGCATTAAGCTCCCGCTATGCGCGGGGTCCGGGGAAGGGCAGGACCACAAGGGTCAATTGTATGCAACCTTACCCTACATTTCTACAAGAGGTTGTTTCCACGGCTTGAACCCATGACCTCCTGGTCACATGGCAGCAACTTTACCAGTTACACCAAGGCTCCCCTTACATCTCAAGCCGACATTGAGAAAAATAAAAATAAAAACAAAAAGTACTACATAAGATCTCTATATTTCCGACTGACATAAGAAGCTCTAAGACTCCTAGAAAGTATTGGACCTAAAGTAACTGCATTAACATGACTAAGAAAAGCATTCCCAAGTAATTGATATCTATATAAATCTATTTCTTCCATTGTGCTCTATCTTTCGCTAAGTCTGCACTGTAACAGCTACAAAGCGGACAAGAATGATAGTAACATGTGCCCGCACTGAAAGTTGAATGTAGTCATTACCAACAAAACGAAAAATCATGAAGTGAGACAATACAAACCGCGCATCATATACAAATAAACATAAAACAAATACACTTGTATTATAAACAACTGAAATAACGGGTAACTTACTAGATAATAATTGAGACACACAAGGGTGAACAAGAGAATATAAGCCAAACACACAAAGCCAAAGTTGAAGGACATACCAAACTGTAAAGGTCTTGAAGATAAGTAAATGATTTTACAGATGCAGACAGTTATGTCAAGATTTGATTAAGAATAGTAAAAGGCACACTCGAGAAGTTTTTCCTTTTGATCACATTAAAATATTAAATTTATTGAAACTATCAAAAGAACAGTTTCTTTTACCAAAATCCTGGTTCCTAGTTGATATCACTTACTTTACTCAATCAACATTTAGCTATTGTTGTTAAATTAATAATCCGGATTGGCACCACGTAAGGCCCACTAAAGGGTCCTCATACCTTGTCTTACAACCTGTAGTACCGGTTCGATTAATAGGGATTGGCGCAGCATAGATACCATTAAAAGGCATACCTTATCTTACAACTAGTAGGACTGGCTCGACTAATTGGGATTGGCGCCACGTAGGGCTAAAGGGACCTCATGCCTTATCATACAACTATAAGGTAGCTCAACTAATCTGGATGGGCAAATGGCAGAAATAGGATACTTCGGTGCCACTATTGATTTTTGACCTTGGTAAGAAAAGTCGTGGGAAAAAAGTCTCCACCAGATTTTTGGAAAGCTTTCCTGGCAATCTTTAGAATTTTTTATATGGTGATCATCGGAATTTGCCACAAAAACATGGCAATTGTTAGAATTTTTCATATGGTGACCACCGGAATTTGCCACAAAATATGACAATTGCCAGAAATTTACATACGGTGATAACCAGGATTTGCAAAAATATGGCAATCGTGAGAAATTTCCCTATGGTAATCACCAGGATTTTAAAAAACATGGCAATTCCCAGGAATTTTCATATGGTGATCAACAGGATTCTAAAAAACATGACAATCGCTAGAAATTTTCATATGGTGATCACCAAAGTTTGCAAAAACTGGCAGTCACCAGAAATTTTGATATGGTGATCATCAGATTTGTCAGAAAGACATGGCAATTAATAGAATCTTTCATATGGGGATCACCAAGATTTGTCACAAAACATTGCAATTGCAAGAAATTTTCATATGGCGATTATAAGGATTTTCAAAAACATGGCAATTGCTAGAAATTTTCAAATGGCGATCACCAAGATTTGCCACAAAACATGACAACCGTTAAAATTTTCCATATGTGAAAATTTGTGGCAGCGTGCTTTAAAATTCTACCAAAGGTCCATCTAGCGTAATTTCCTGAATCTGGATTGGCGCCGCTTAGGGCCCACTAAAGTGGCCTCATACCTTATTATCTTACAACTTGAAAGACTATCATATGCCATTAACTTGTACACTACACTGGTAAAGCATTTTATAGGAACAAGACCTTCATGTGACCTGGTCACAGGTTCGAGCCGTGGAAGCGGTCACTAATACTCATTAAGATAGGCTGTCTATATCACACCCTAGAGGTGCGGCCCTTCCTTGGACCCGGCGTGAACGTTGGATGCATTGTGCATCAATAGACGTCAAACGCTCAATGTCGTGGAAGCAATACTCAATAAGCTAGGCTATCTATATCACACCCTAGGAGTGTGCCCCTTCTCCGGACCCTGCTTGAATGCATGATGTATTGTGCACAAACGCAAAATACTCAATACCTCTACAGTACTAATTAATGATGGAGAGTGAAAAGTGGCAATAAGAGGATAAAAATACCATGAAAGTGAGCATCAGTAGAAGTAACACTCATGCAGCAGAAGCAGCAGCATGTTTTTCTTGCAATTTCTTCTTTTTCTTGGCAGCTTTTCGCTTCTTTGCACCTGATGGCATGATTATTGATCGTGAATTTGTCTCTTCTGAATTGAAAGAATCTGTTTTCCCTATGAGATTTGGTAAATCGTACTTCTCTGAAGAAGAGTGACAGATTGTGGAAATGTAGCGTCGTCACCTTTGCCTGTATACGTTGGCCCATGGCCGTATTATTTTTGGTTCTAAGACACAATTCCATTATTAAGAAGTTAACAAAATAGTATATTTTCTCCATTCCAATGTACGTGAAACTATTCGTAAATTTATTTATACGTCTTTTAAATTTCTTATATTATTAATTATTGTAACTTATACTTTTTACGTAGTTTTTAAATATAAATTTTATTCTAAAAAAATTAAAAGATTCTACATGCAAATATATGGTCAAAATTAAAAGGTTGAAATCTCAAAAGAGAAAAGTATCACATAAATACTAAATAGGACACCAGAATATTTAAAAAGGGAAAATGCATAAGTACCCCATGTCCTATTCTCGGATTTCTAACTACACACTTTACCTTTGCGGGGTTTTTATTATCCCCTAAATTATTATAAAGTGTAATAAACACAGCATTAAAATTGGACAACCAAATTCCTGATGGAGAGTGTGTGCACGCACTGCTAGCTAATAATTTTTTTTTTTTTCTTCTTCTGTTTTTTCTTATTATATTCTAGTTTCATATACATGGTCGCCGGCGAATGTAAAATTATTTTCCGATTTTAGAGCCGGAGAATGTGAATTCGTAAATGGAAATCGTAGTCCGAGCTAGAGCAGTACCGTTGAGGTGTCGTCGCCGGTAATGGTGGAAAACTCGCTGTCGGCGGTGATATTAGACTCATCATCGTTGGATCTCAGCATTGGTGGATCAGGTAATTTATTTAGCAATGGTATGGGTAGTTTTTTCCTTGAATAATCTGTTTTACGGTTCTCCGGTCGCCGGAGGAATCGACAGAGGTGTGACAACGGTGAATCATATGTACTATTTGGAAGCTCGCAACGAGGGAGGGTGGTTTCCTCATGTAAAAAAAGTTGAAGGAAAACGGCGGATTTTATTGTCGATGTTGGTAGAGATGGCTCCGGTGAGTCGACTTTGTCATCGGTGAAAACGAAAAAATGGACTGGATTTACAAAAAGAAAAAAATAAATAATGATAGCAATAATTAATTAAGTCTAAAATAATGATATAATTTTCAATTAAAAATTGTCACATGTATAAACTAATCAGTTTTAAACTTAAATTTTGCCTCTTACATGCTTTCAAGAGAGTGAACACACTCTCCTTGCCACGTCATCAATTAAGGGTGTGTTTATTACACTTTATAATAGTTTAGGGGGTAATAAAAATCCCGCAAAGGTAATGTGTGTAGTTGGAAATCCGGGTATAGGATAGGGGTACTTATGCATTTTCCCATTGAAAAAAGTAAATTAGTCCAATCATAATTTTTATGAGGTTAAATAACTAATACAATGAAAATCAAATAAAGAAGGTAAGTGTAATATTATAATTATATTGTTAGAAGTCAAACCTAGATAGAAGTCTCTGAAATTATCTCTACTATGTACATGCAATTAGGGCTGTCAAATTTGGCCCAAGTTCAAATGATCCGCTTAATCCGTTCAAAGTTGAGTTAGCTATTGACCTGCCCATTTATTGAACTCATCACATTTTGACTCAACTCATCTCAACTCATTTAAAGTTGGGTTAATTTTGGCCAAATTTATCGTTGAGTAACTTTGCCAAAATATCTTAGAAATAATTTTTTTTTGTTTGATATATTATATATGACCATAACAAAAGAAAAAAAAGGTCTTATTTACTAATTATACAATTCATAAGAAAACAACACATATTAAGTAAAGCCTGATAAGAGTGTGCGGGTTGGACTATGATCCAAATTTAGCCCACCTTGACCCAGCTCATCTTAGCGGGAGAAATTCAAAAATAACCAGATTTACAAGTGGTCATTCAAAAATAGCCACAGTTTCAAAAGTAATCGAAATTTAGCCACTTTTTATTTAAAGATAAATCTGAATGAAAACACTGTACAAAATCCGAAAAAACACTCCAATATAATATACTGGAGTTCCAGTATAATATACCGGTCCAGCATAATATACTGGAACTTTTCGCGTGTTGGAGTTCCAGCATAATATGTTGGAAGTTCATACATAGGTGCACCGATCTCCAGTATATTATGCTGGAACTTTCCGTATTGCAGCAAAATAGTGGCTGTTTTTAAATGACTCTGCAAACGCTGGCTATTTTTGAATGACCCGTCCGAAAACTGGCTAGCCCGTGCTATTTTTACCATCTTAGCCCAAGTAATAATGATCCACGCAATTATTAACTCAACCCCTTTTGACCACCCAAAATCGGCCCAACCTGCTCATTTAACACCCCTACATGCAATAAAGAATTTTCTTTTTCTTTTTTAAATCCTTAAAATTAAATTTATGTCTCTCATTTTCTTTTTTAATTTCTCTTTTGGGTTTCCTCTAGAAATCTCAAGATTTATTTTAAATTTTTCTTTAAGTCATGATCTTGCATATTTTAGAACCACAATTACATCCAATTCATATATTTTATTCCAAATATTAAAGCTTTCATGCCCAGCTAGTAGCTAGCCACCCTCCCCCTAGCACAATTACTTTATCATTAGGTTGCTTTAAGTAAGATTATTATTGTTATAACTAAATGAATAGACTCTTAATTAATTGTCGTTCAAAATTCCAATCAAGCACGTTTCATATTACTATCCTGACAAAGTAGTGCAAACTATTACTCGATCACAATTCTACCGGTAGATTATAACTCAATCCTCTACCTTGTGGTCCCGGTCCTTCTCTAAATTCCGCGCATAGCGGGAGCTTAATACACCAGGCTGCTCTTTATTAATACACAGTTGCATAAAGGGGTATTATCACTTTTACCCTCCGCTAAAAACTATTTACATTTCGTAATAAAAAAAGTATATAAAATTTGTATAATTTTTGTTTATACATATAAAATGTATATATGTACAAAAAATATACTCCTACATTTTTCGACTATTATTTTAAGAGAGGCTATACAGTGTCATTTTCCCTTGCATTAAATTCATGGCTTGGCTCGATATTTTAGTGTCACGACCCGGATTTCCCACCATCGGGAGTCGTGATGACGCCTACTAGTGAAAGCTAGGCAAGCCAACCATTTGTATTATTTACCTTTTTTCCATTTTAATCCTTTAACAATTAAGAACCAACATCATATAAATAGCGGAATTTAATAAGCGGAAGACTGAAATGTAATATTTTAATAATGATACCAATCACAATCTCACAAACGGTCTAGGAATACTACAAACAAGGGTCCGAAAAATAAATACAACGCTGTCTCTGAAATACATAAATGAAACAGGATGAAAGGATAGAAGGAGAAGCCAAGGCCTGCGGACGCCTACAGGACTACCTCGGATCTCCGAATGGACTAACGGCAATAACCCAAAGCTAAGGTCCGTATGCTTCAGTACCGGGATCTGCACAAGAGAGTGCAGAGTGTAGTATCAGCACAACCGACCCCATGTGCTGGTAAGTGCCTAGTCTAACCTCGGCGAAGTAGTGACGAGGCTAGGACCAGACTACCAAGTAAACCTGTGCAGTTAAATCATGTACAGCGGAAAAAAACAAAGGCAAAACTTTACAATTAAAGATAGGAAGGGGAAACATGCTGCGGGGAAATATCAAGTAATAACGAAAATCCAATAGATAAAAGTAAAGAACACTATAACTAAATTATCAGCAAGAATCAGGAAATCAAAGATAAGTGCACGGCATCACCCTTCGTGCTTTACACTCTCTCACAAATATCATGCACGGCATCACCCTTCGTGCTTTACACTATTCCTCACCCAAGCAACAATCACAAAGCAATTTGGGTAAGAGAATCAATAACATCACAATAAAATCAAGTAACAAAAGAAAACCAGTAAATAAACGTAAAGAACATCATAACTCAATTATCAACAAGAATCAGGAAAATCAAGGACAAGTGCACGGCATCACCCTTCGTGCTTTTACTCTCATCCTCACCATAAGAATCAATATAATCGGCACGGCATCACCCTTCGTGCTTTTACCTCACATAATCATGGCACGAAATGATCCTTCGTGCATTATCACTCATATAAAGGCACAGAATGGTACATCGTGCGGCACGACATCACCCTTCGTGCATTAACACTCTCTCACAAAATATCATGCACGGCATCACCCTTCATGCTTTAACACTCTCTCACCAAAACAATGCACGGCATCACCCTTCGTGCTTTAACACTCTTCCTCACCCAAACAACAATCATAAACAATAAGGGCAAGGAATTAAATAGAATCGCAATGAAAATCCCGGCAAGGGAACAATATCAAAAGCAACAATATCCCGGCAAGGGAACAATATTAAAAGCAACAATATCCCGGCAAGGGAGACAATAT